AGCTGTACTTAATTTTGAACTGATACACAAAGGTCACATTGCTGTCCTCAATTTTGAATTGATACACAAAGGTCACATTGCTGTCCTCAATTTTGAATTGATACACTAAGGTCACATTGCTGTCCTCAATTTTGAATTGATACACTAAGGTCACATAGCTGTACTTAATTTTGAACTGATACGCTATAAGGAACACAGATAAATAACAGCGCCTATTTCAAAGTATTGTATGATAGATTAGTGGAACCTGCCATTCTTCTTCGCTTTAATAGGTCATTCACGGTCATAAAGTGATGAACTTGAACCATGAATTTTTGGATCCACAATCCGAGGATGCTAAGTACTAGGCCAGGTTTAGCCCACAAAATGTTTAATGGAAAGTATTCATTCGAGATCTCTTAATGTCTATGGGTATGCAGATGTGCAAACAGTTAACTATATTATAACACTTGTGGCACAGTTCAATATATCTTCATAACATAGTCACATATCATAAAACCTCTATTACAGTCCTCTACGGCTGTACAACCTAATCAGACGTTATAACATCTACGTCACATCATAGACACACACCATAACAACTGTGTCACAGTTCTCTACATCTTCACAACACACTCACACACCATAACACCTGCATCACAGCTCTTTATAGCTTCACATCATAGGCACACATCCTAATTACTTGTTTTACAGCTCTCTACATCTTCACAACAGTCATGCATCCTAACACCTGTGTCACAGCTACTTACATCTTTACAACACAGTCACAAAAACACCTGTGTTACAGCTATTTACATCTTCACAACACAGTCATATATAACACCTGTGTCACAGCTACTTACATCTTCACAACACAGTCACACATAACACCCGTGTCACAGCTACTTACACCTTCACAACACAGTCACACATAACACCCGTGTCACAGCTACTTACATCTTCACAACACAGTCATACAAAACACCTGTGTCACAGCTACTTACATCTGCACAACACAGTCACATATAACACCCGTGTCACAGCTACTTACATCTTCACAACACAGTCACATATAACACCTGTGTCACAGCTACTTACATCTTCACAACACAGTCACATATAAAACCTGTGTCACAGCTACTTACATCTTCACAACACAGTCACATATAACACCTGTGTCACAGCTACTTACATCTTCACAACACAGTCACACATAACACCTGTGTCACAGCTACTTACATCTGCATAACACAGTCACATATAACACCTGTGTCACAGTTCTCTATAGTTTCGTATCATAGGCACAGCCAAATGCCTACCTTCAGATTAATATTGGACCACCATTTTAAAAGTGAAAGGCGAGGCTCTCATCACACCCCAAAACTTACGACGAATCGTTAAGTTTCAAATGCTGAAGATCTTTACACCAAATAAACTGATGTCGAACATTCTTGGAATAATTTGGAGTTGCGTATTAC